GGGCAGTTTCAACTCAGCTAAAGGCACTGCTGGCTCCAGACCTCATCCTTTTTTTGGGGTAAAAATGAGAAATGTACTTCTTTCTTGTTGGCATAATTAACACAGGATTTAGTACAGCGAGGGGACGCAGGATTTTGTAGAATATACTGTGAGGAGAGACTCCCAGTGTCTCACTATGGATGAAAGCAGTTCTGTATCCCACTTAAGTAGGCTGTGCTGGTGAAAGATGAAGGGCACCGTGCAATTTCCTTAGCAAAGCACACTAATGTCCAGCACATGACTCTAACAATCATTCAGGCCCAGTCCATCAAAGTGGAAAAAAAATTCAGTTACATTTTGTATCATTTTTTGCAGAGCAAAGAACAAGTTACCAACTTGTCTGCCGCAGCCCTGAAAACCCTACTGGCACCTAACTCCATTAGCTCTACAGCAATAACGCATGCAGTGATTCTAAACCTCCAAAGCTGCACATCATCCTGCACTTTTCCCTTTTTTTTTTTCCTTAGGACTCTAAAATTCATTTTACTTGAGCAGAAGACTGGTACTGGCCTGAGAATAACTTCTTTCATCCCCTAAATCAGGTTTCAAAATGTACTTTTCTTGTTTGGGGTACAAGAACTGGGCCGCGCTGAATCATCTAAATTTAGAAGATTCAGCCCACAGGCTGCAGGCTTACAACGGTACTTATTCACTGACATAACACCAAAAGAAAGGGAACTACAAGGTTTTTAGTGCTGAGTTATTTCTCCTTCTCTTACCTTGCTTCAGTAAGGTAATCAGGTAGGTAGAGTCCTTACACGACTCTTCTTACATAGATTTCCAGCACAATTAATCCCGATGACAATCTATGACCATATTCACACTAAAGATAATACAAATGCTACAATTCCACTCTCTCTTAGGATGCTGCACCAAAATCATGGAGTTGGTGGCTCGATGAAGCCAACCTGCACGAGCAGAGCTCAGCTAAGGACAGCACTCCATGCAGACACAACATACCACGTGCTAAAAGCCAGATTAAGGGGGGCATTGTGAAAGAAGCTGTGCACACATAAACACAGACCCTTTGCATACTCAGGGCACCGTAATTTGAGGCTTTTGTTAAAATCATCATTAAAATCATCATCATCATCATCATCATCATCATCATCCTCATGCTTGTTACTAAAGAGCAAATAAAAATGCTCAACAAATGGCATTGAGAAAAACCAGAGTTTGCTGCAGAGGTTGTGGTACACCTCTGTGTTTGACAATAATTGTTTGTGCCTTAGGTACAAGTCAACACAGAAGCCAGTAGTTCTACTCGCATAATCAATGCTATTCCCAGTGAAAAAGGTCATTTCATTAACAAGCAAAAGGCAAGGAAAGACCTCAGGCTCAAAAGGAGATCCATAAAGCACAAAATCAAGTTAAGACACCATGTGAAGCCTGGTCCCGATGCACTTCAGATAGTCCTTCACAAAATCTACAGACCAAGAGGCAGGAAAAGCTCGAAGTGTTTTCAACAGAGTATCCGACATGCTAATGAATATATAGCAGATGGCAAATCCCCTCCTATTCCGCAAGGCAAGCAGTCTTCATGCACGAGTTGTACTGGTAAGCAGTGCTCTGACTGCTTGGGAAGCAGCCCTTCCAGGAGGGTTTGGTAGCCGTGTTGTGGAATTTGAACAACTTGCCCATGGCTTTGAAGCAGGAAGTCTTCTGCCAAAAAGAACGACGCAGACAGAGGAGTGAGGAGCTCACCTAGATTGGTCTCTGTGTGGACCATGGTCAGAAATCTCTGATTTGAGGGTCCTGGATACGTAAACATCTATCAGACACATTACCATGCAATTCTGTCCTTGTGAGATAAAAATATTTTCAACTTTCTGATCAGGCTCAGAGAACAATGATTCAGAGTTTTCAACAACTGTTTTAAAAGCTTAATGTCTCATCTTTGGCTCAAATACTGCCTTATTTTGCGTTCACCTTACTTCATATCATGCATATTAGGCACAGATTTCTGCAAGGTGTGTTAGCATTCAATAGATATATTGAGACAAGAAAGCTTATCCAAAAATCAAAACCACTTTGAGAATGAAGGACAGAATCTGTAATTACATCAGATCTCCCAGTGCAAAGCCAAATGTCACCCTTTCTGGACAAGCATTCAATACTATTCTGACAGGGAGATATTATTAGAGGAATTAACCTGAATACGACCTCAAATTCACAGTCTCTTGCTAACGTATTGCTAGTCCTTAACAACCCACCCCTCCTCCCTTTTTTTAAGCAATTAAGGGGAAATACCAAATGCAGTTAGCACAGGGGTGAGTTGGCAGACATTTTGTGTGTTCAGTGATATCATATTTCATATTTTTAACATATATATATGTATACATACAAAGTAAAGAATGATGGATGCTTGCAGAGAATAAAGTAACAGCAATGCTGCTGAATCACTCATTTTACAGAGGACAGCTTCCAAAACTGTTCTTAATAACGCTGGACCTGTCATATATGCAAAGCAAGAATTCAAGGAGGTGAAGAATCACCTTCCTCTCCACTGAATTTGTTTTAGCACAGCTCACAGAATACCTGAGCTGTATTTTCAGTCAGCCAGAGCAAAATAAACGACGCCTCCAGCTTCAGCAGACAGTCCTCTTTGAAAACATAGGTGTAAACACTACGGGATAAATTGACATAAATATGGAAACAAGCAAAGTAACCTAGAAGGATGTTTTCTGAATCACACCTAAGTACAACAAAGAATCCAAACCTGAGGAAGCAAGTTAGACTGCCATGGCATCACAGTGCTTCAGAACCTCAGTTCTTGGATGCTGTAGGGACCGGAAAGAATCAAATCACGGCTTCCAAAAATGGCCTAGATAAGTTAATCAAGAGTTTGCATTTCCACACCAGTCATGTTCCTCTGGCTGTTAATCTGTCAAAAACCCTCTGCAGAAAGACTATTATGGTCTGTACAGTTAATACCTATCTCAGAGCAGTGCTCCCTCTGTTACGGGATGAGCACTTACACTGCTGTGACCCATTTCCTAACCACACAGGAATGAAAGCAGATCCTGAGGAGTTTTTAAACTATGAATTTTTGAGGTGATCTCTATCTTTTACATGACTGCACTTGTACAGTGAAGACAACAGTTGTATGTCAGTGCTTGTAAGATTTCAGTATTTCTACAGTTTTTAAGGGCAAAAATACAATGTCTGTGGCCAAAGATGAAAGAGAACTCCACTATTTCTGCCTCAAATGCTTTACTATATTTAAAGCTTACATATTAAAAAAAAGCAGAATTATTTTTTTTCCCATGAAAATAATGAAATTTTGTAAATAATTATGAATCTGAATTAAGACACCATCAGTGGGAGGGATTCTTTAGGTTTTGGGTTCGTTTTCTTGAGCTTAAAAAGGATTTGCATGAAAAAAGCAATAGAGCTTATGTAACAAGAAAATGAATGCAAGTGGAAGGGGTAGGATGAGCCCAATATTTCCTTGCACATTCTTAATCTCCCCTTATACCATACAGTGTTTTCAAAACCCATCTGATTGCTACAAATACTTAAATTCAGGTAAAAAATCTTGCAATATAAGAACTCATACATCGTGCCAGAGATGCCACCCTTCAAAAGGCATTTTCTCTATTTAAAAGGAACAAGAAAGTATTTTACAACTCCCACCAAGTATCAATTAGCAGGATGTAGGCTGAGCCAGTACAACCTTTAAGACTACACAGTAAAACAGAGCATTCAATACTGTAACAAGGTATCAAGTAGAATGGAATTTAGCAAAATGTCAGATATAAGGAATGAAAAGTTTCTATTGCAATCTTACAGATAATTATGGGAGGAATAAATAAAGAATTCAGGATCAGAACTGTGGAAGATTTTCTATGCTTTGTTTTCAATGTAACAGCAAAACTCTACATTTTGCCTCAAAACGGAAGAGTAAATTTAGAAATGGATGTTCTTTTCCATCTACTAAAACAAAAACCAGTACTGAACTCTAGAGAATACATACTTGCAGATTTACTTATAGTTAGTTACTTCCAACACATGGCTTGCTGAGCTTATAATATCTGTAGGATTCTATGTTCCTTTCAGTCCTCCTCCGATCCGAGTTCTGCAATTCTTCTCATCACCCACGCCTGCAAACTGTGTCTAGTATTTAAGTGTTCTCCTCATCACACACTTACTCTTTTCAGACACGTATTTGTAAAATATAATGACTTGAATAAGTTTTCACTTTTTAAATAGACAAAGGTACTTCTAAATGTATTTCCAAATCTATCTTTAATGAGAAAATGCATGCAGCTTACTTGTCCTGAAAGTGAGACTGCAAACAGAATCAACGTTTCAGAAGGTGCAACAATTAGGCTTTCATTCTTCCTACACTCTAAAGCTTTTAAAAAACACATCACTTCAGTTTTGCCGTGTTAAAACAAATTCAACAGAACATTACCACATATTTTTCTAATAGAATAAATTCCTTCCCTTCAAGATTAGAGTCCAAAGCTGTGATCTGCAAACCTCGCCTGATGAATGCTTTCACTGAAGTTGGCAAAATTTAAAGTATTTCAGGTTTTCACTACTTTATGCAAGAAAAAGGAAACAGCACGGGATTGCATAGTCTTTTTGCATAGCTTTGCATAGATTGCATAGATTGCATAGGAACAAAATATGCAGTCATACTATTTCAATTAGATTTTGACATCTAAAATATACCAAGCTTACATATTTTTAACTGCAAGTTTAAAATGCCTGAAATGAAAACTAAAACATTTCTCCAAAATACTTCCTGTTGATTAAAGGTGCTTAAAATACTGAAATAAAAGAGATCAACGATCAGATGCTATCTGATGGTATATAATTTATAGTATTACATTTGTGTCAAAATATCAGAACCATCCTCATCAGATTCCTTCCCTCAGAAAATGACTATTTTCAGGATTTTTTTCTTGAAAAACACATACTGTATACATACTGTATTATTGTATAGTTCTTACCATACATGCTGTACTCCAGATATCAGCAGGTGTACTGTAACCTGCTCCTATTAAAACCTCTATGGATCTATATTGTCTTGTCTGGATGTCTTCTGTGAAGTGCTTATGCTAAAACAGAAAGAATCACATTAATTGCAAAAATGAGCAATAAAAAGGCCTCTTCTAAATAGTGAAGACTAGAGAGTTGAATTGATGTAGTTACACTTACCACCCAGCAGGCATTTCCCAGGTCAGCGATTTTAACTCTAATTTTATCTGCATTTCTTGGGTCCAGTGGATTCACCAGTAAGTCAGCAGCACGAGTTTTTGCTAACACAAACAAAAAGCAGAAGAGTATTCAGAACATACTACTCATTCTCCGTAAGTGACTTCGTTGAACATTAGGAGAAATTAAAGCAACACAAACAGGATTTCTTACCTTGATTACTAAACATCCTCACAAATACCAAGTGCATTTTTAACAAACTGCCATATACCTATTATTAAAATATGTGGCAGAGCAGCTAAGTAAAAAATAAAGCATGTTGCTATGACAAAAAATGTTAAAACTCAAACTCCACATGAAAGACATTCTTTGAACAGTTTGGTTGAGAAAATGAATCCATCACTTCCATTCTTGGTTAAGGTACATGAAGTTTGGCCACTGTTTTTTGTTGTTTTTATTGTTGTTGTTGTTTTTGTTGGTAGATCTGCCTTGCTGGAAAAGGAGTGATCAAAACGTGGCTGATTTCAGAGCCTGGGGGACTGTTACCATTTCACAGATAATTCAACTTTGAATCAAAGTTATCTGAAGGATCTATTTGCCCTGAACATGATTCAAAGTAAAACTGCAAAACTGCGATCCAATTAATCCAGCAATCTTTATATTCTCCTGAGACACTGGAGATTCTAACATACAATGCTTGAGGACTCCTGCTTCTTTTTTTTTTTGGTATTTTTACATACCACCTGCTGATTCCTAATACGTGTGGGAAAGAAAGCAGGTTGTCTTAAATGTGGAAGAAAGAACCAAGTATCACAAGTAAGACAACAGTAGAGGAACCATCACTTTCTTCATCTCAAAGCTACAAAAACTCAACTAGAAACTGAGACATGAAAGAGATACCAGATCTGAAAAGCATCTGGGAATCCAATGGGGATAAAATGATCAGTTAAACTTGCATAAGTATATTAGAAGAAGAAAATACATTACACATGAGACTAGGAGGAAAAAGAGAGGAAGTCTAGTGGTATAAGTTAGGAATGACTGAAATGAGATGCAGATCTTAAACTACTGGGACAGCAAGTGCAAACAGGCAATCACTAAATAATGGCCATCTGGAAAAGAAAATGGCAGAACTTACCAGGGAAGAAAAGAAAACACTACATGGCAGAAGATAGAACAGGCAGTGACCTCAACAAAACAGGCCTCTAAAAGAGCTGTAATTGAGTGCAAGACTCAAGTTTAAAAAAAGCACCAAAACAGAGCATAAAAGTAAAATACACTGAGAGAGTATTAAGGTTGCATTCCAGCCCTGAAAAGACAGGAACTACTTAAAGTCTTCCCTTAAGACCATGCAGCATAGCAGGGTCAAATTTTTTTTAAACACAAACCCATGCTTTATTCATAAAATAACAACAGTCAGTTCAGTAGCCTTGCTATTGCTGAAATAAATCCTTCCCGTACATTTTGCTGAAGGTGAAGGACTGCAGTAAATAAAGCAGGAGAATGAAGAGGGGAAAAAAGGCCTCATTAGTAAGATATGTGAAAATAACATTAGAAAGGATTTTGCAACCTCCTTTTAACACAGGGAACATACAAAGGTTAACAGGCAAGTGCCTACATCCTTGTGTTTTTCTCATGAACTCAGTGAGTTTATGTCCTGTATTTTCTGAGAGATGAATGAGACACCTCGGATTCTGCTTTAGACAAATAATTCACAACTAACTGTGAAGTCAAAAAAGCTGTACTTCTTATCAAGTACTCTTAAAAAGCATCCTATGGCACTCAACCTGAGGGCAAACTTAGTGAGCATTTCTAATTTTCACTTCTAAATGTCCTAGTTTTGGAAAACTGAGAAATAACACCTCCTCTTCTCACAGTCACACCATGACAATATGCTTAGTAAACATTCAAGCACTAGAATGAGGAGGAAAGTCATGATGAAATTAATAAATCTGTCCCTAGGAGCATTTGGTCACACAGTATACACTTGACAAAGAATTAAATAAAGGTAAAAACTTGACAAAAAATAGTTGCTCATCCACTGAATGCAGATCAGCCTGTACACTAGTGAGACCATGTTACATAAGAATGTATAGCAATGACTACCTGGAGACAAGCAAACAAAGTCCACATCTATACATGAAAAGAGCACTAAAGATACAGTGGAAGAAGTAGCACCATTTGAAATACTGAACGGCCTGCAACTGTCATACCATTCTAATGTAGTTTAATTTGTCTTATTACTGTTTAAACCCATGATTGGTGCCATTCAGATGAACAACATTAAGCTTTTCCTCCTTCTGAGGAAGAGGTGAACTATGGCTGAATTTATGGTCCTTTTACTTTATTTGCACACAAGGATTGTATATTGCTCCTGATGAGGTAACATTAAGGGGGAATGAAGTAGGTTTGTTTCTCCAGCTGTGGAGATAAGCTGCTCTCGTGATGACAATACCAGTTTTACTCTCTGGAAGGATGAGGATTTTATACATCACCCCAGGAACAGCAGGAGAGGCATTCTGCCTAAAGACTGCCAGCAGTGAAATGGAAGAGGGGGTTCTGGCTGATGGCAAGTTAAGCATGAGCCAGTAGTTGCCCTGGCAGCTCAAAGGGCCGATGATACCCTGTGGTGCAGCAGGCCCAGCACTGCCAGCAGTCGAGGGGAGGGCTTGTCTGCTCTGCTCTGTGCTGTGCAGCCTCACCTCCTGCACTGGCTGCTGTGTGGGTGCCACAACATCAGAGGGGCATAAAGCTATTAGCATCCAAAGGAGGGATATGAAGATGGGGAAGGATCTGAGGGCAAGGTATGAGGAGCGGCTGAGGTCCCTGTGTTTGCTCAGCACAGAGCAGAGGAGCTGAGGGGAGGCCTGATGGCGGCTGCAGCTCCTCACAGGGAGCGGAGGGCAGCGCTGAGCTCTGCTCTGTGTGACAGCGACAGGGCCCGAGGGAACGGCATGGAGCTGTGTCAGGGGAGGGGCGGGAGAAGGGCTCAGGGAAAGGGTCTGCACCACAGGGCGGTGGGCACGGAACGGGCTGCCCAGGGCAGTGGGCACGGCGCTGAGCTGCTGGAGTTCAAGGAGCATTTGGACACCGCTCCTTGATACAGGGTTTGAATTCTGGGCAATGCTATGTGGAGCCAGGAGCTGGACTCGATAATCCCTGTAGGACCCTTCCAACTCGGGATATTCTATGGATATATGATTCTAAGAGGCTACGAAGCATTGAGGAGCCACTGTTTAAGGGAGAACAGAATATAAGAAGATGGACTGGAAGACTTATTAGCTTTAATCTTGACATTTTACAGAAATTCCGCTCTACTCAATTGTATTTTATTGCATATTCCTTGTCTATTTGCAGATAACCTTATGTAGATTCTATAATAAACTGTGTGAAACACTCTTCAAAGCTCTAAAAATGAGGAAATACACTCTATTGTATTTTTCAATACAGCTCTGTTTATATCCAGTAGCTTCATCCAGGACGATGTTCACGCAGACTGATTTTCTCCTGAACCATCCCATTTTCTTCTGTTCGCTTACAGATTTAGTCTTTCAATATTTTCCCTATTGAAGCTGAAACTCATGTATTTATCTTTTAGCCAATGACACTACAAATAAAACCTATGGGTAATACTCTGGAGCTATTTAATTCAATGGCAAAAGTGCTGCTGTTAAAAGGAAGCCAGGTTAAACAATCTCACAACACGTCTGGCCTTAAGTCTATGTGAAAAAAGTGTACTTTCATATGTGACCTTCTTTCTCTCTTTCCTGTGGAGATGACCTGTTAATGCAAATATTTTATAACAGTAACTTATTTAATACACTTTAAAGTAAGTTCTAAAGCAGAAAAAAATCACAGTTTTGCTTTCCTCTTAAAATTTAAGATGGTAGATTTATTTTAACAAAACAAGGTGCTTTTCTTTTGTGTTTCAAGTTGAAATGATCAAACTCTTACACTGGAATGTATGAATAGGCATCCAATTTACTTAAAGCATGCTTCAACTGCCTTTAAGGACACTATTACAATTGTTTCTTAACATATTCCCTGTCTTTCTATTCTACTCGTTTGATCCTCTCTCCTTTTATTTTTTTTTTAATGCAATCAATGCCCACGGTAATAGGCAAAAAACTCACATCAATTCAAACAATTCTTTATCTCACATTTCGTAAAAAGTCATTAAAAACGAACACATCTGCTTTTCCTTGAAACTTGGTTACAGGAGGTCAAAGTTAACCAGAATGTTTTGGGACCAAAATAACTGAAAAGTCTCCTCTTCGTTTCTAAACATCAGCTTTGCTTTTTTTCCATAACTCTTCAAAGATAAAACAGTAAATTTTAAATAATCATGACTGAGATTTTGCATTCAGATGATGTAATAGTCAAGGAGTAAAATGTTCGCTGCAGTAGAGCCAAGAAGATTAAATCAGTGAGCAATGAAAAAAAATGGTTCTCAGTGGTGGGTTGCAGCTGTGACCCAGTCCTACTATGACTAGTCTGACCTCATATCTCACTTTATGCCCAAGTCTGGGCAGCACCCAGAAAGCAAGGATTTGGGAGCAATCTGCACACTGCAGAGGAGCAGTTTTCAGAGGTTGGCACGTGGGCACCATTTCTACAGTGGGCACCCTTCAGAGTCAGGCAGGGAGTAGGCCAGAACGTAAGGAGGTTTGGCATTAACTCAGAAAGTGAAAATATTTAAAACTTCAGGTGAAAGTGAAGAAAAGGCAACATCACAGAATTCTAGTTCTACTGTTCAATCAAAGTAAAGGAAATGGTGCAAGAGTCCTCATCTATTACTGAAAGACGCTTTCATGCTACTGAGAATTGTCTGTGACAGCTTTCTCAATAGACTTGGTACTGAATTTTGAAGTGAAAAAAAAACCATGGCATTTGCATACAAACATCACTGAACAAAGATAAAACATATACATAAGGTTTAATTCCAGCACTCATTCTACAATAAGACATCACCTCTGAGAGACTTCAGGTGTGGATGGCACATGCCAGCAAGAGTAATACTTACTTTTTGGCAAATCCCCAGTGCTTGAAGCTGAAACCGTTCTGCTCCTGTCATGAGATGGGCTGCTTTCCTCTCTTTCTGTTACAGTTGATCCTTCAGAAACAGCAGAACCACAAGCTACAGACTCTAGGGCCCCAGAGAACACTGAAGCTGAAAATTCAGAGAACTGTGACTCAGGAATTTTATGACGTCCATTTGGCAATTCACCATTAAACTGTTCGTAAGAGCTGCTATAAGAGTAATCACTTTTTGCATTTGGCTCATCAAGATTATATTCTTCTGGATTTGGACATTCTTCCTCTTCGTCATCTTCATCTTCAATCTGCTGTTCCAATAGAAATGGGCCATTCACAATATGGCCATTTGTTTTAGGTGATTCTATCCACTTAGGGTCTGTAGGGTCATTGCTGACAAGTTCCTGCTCAACATCATCATCTTTTTCAGTGTTTTCTTTCTCTGTGTCTTCTTTTTCATCCTGATCTTCTGCTTCACCTGTAAAATTTTAACGAGCAACGTTATTAGATCATACATCAACATACCATCTTAAAACCATTCACAAATTAACTCTTCAGTACGTACTTGACTTCCAACACAGCACAGAAGGAACATTCAGAGACTTTAAAATCTAAGTTAAGGCAAGAAAGGGAACTAACAGGGTTGTTGGAAAAAAAAAAAGCAATGGGAAGTGGTTCAGGATAGTGTAACTGAGGAAACAATGCAAGATAAAAATGTTATGCATGAAATCTATAAGCAGTTTTGAAAGCAAGCACTACAAATCTTTAACTCAATCAATGTCAAACAGGGATTCACCATAGAGATAGGAATATTTATAGCTTGAGAAGAACAAAAAAAACACACACACAAAAATGTATAACATTTCTATCAAAACTGAAATAGTTTATAAGAAAGCAACAGAAACAAGAAAGGAGTTGGACCTTAACAACTATGCTCCAAGCCACCTAAGTTAAAAAAGAATTTTAACATGAAATGTTGTGAATAAGCTGCAATTACTTTCCCTCCTGAAACAGTAGATTCAAGGTCAATAAACGCAGATGACACTAACCATCATCATTTCCAGGTTCTTCATCTACGACCTCTTCGAGATCAGCTGTTTTTAGTTTCACCTCTGGGTGGTACTCATCTTCTTGTTCATTTGATGGTACAGCTGAGGTTACATTTTCTTCTATTTTTTTCCTTTCAGCTTCTCGCTCTAGTTCTTCTATTTCCTGCAGGCGTTTTTCTAACAGCTCTGCTTGCCTCTTCTGTTTTTTCTTCAGTTTTTTCTTTTTGTTTTTGGATATTTTCCCAACCTGAAATAGTAATAAAAACAAACCAAACAAAACTCTGAATAATTCTCCTCAAGGCATCTTAAACTGAAAACATGCAGTATGGCTCCTTTTTATTTGAAAGTAGTGGGTAGTAATTAATATAATAAATAGACTGTTGATTCTACTTTACTTCAAATGAAGTACAACCTAGGGTTATGCGTATCAAATAAAACTAAAAAGTCTTAGATGCTCGTATATGCTTTTGCATTGCTGTGTATTAGACCCACGAACAAAATACAACTGAGACGACACTGTAAAATTCCTATAATCTAAACTAGAACAATAATTTTAATCTAGATCAGCAGATGATACTATTGTATGTGGAAGATGTTCTGCTATCATACCTGTTTATCTATGCACAAACTATATACACCATTTCTCTCTCTTTACAATGCAGGTAATGCTCATCAAAAATATGCTGAGAAAAATTACATAAGAAATTCAATAAGACTGAAAATACTAAAGAATTTGAAATAAGTCCTTTGCTGTTCAGTTATTTCCCTGTGAAAAGAAAGCAGTTTTAATATTTCTGGTCCAAAACATATGATTCACAAAGAACAGATGGTGATCATTAAACATTTTGCATTTTATATAACATAAGGATTAAAAAATCCAGGTCTAACAACAAAGGAAAAAAAAATCAACAGATTTTTGCTAAGACTGAAACAACTTATTATATTTTAATTGAATTCTGACTTCTAATTTTACTAGTAGGTAAATTAGCTTAATCCAATTTTCATTCATTGTACAGATACCACAATAAGATATCCTTATACAATTCAAAAATGAAGTGCAATGAACAATGAGAAACATTCTTTTCTCAAAGGTTTGTCCATAAATGCCATCATCTTCAAAACAAGTTACATGACAGTCAAAACCAGACAGTTAATTCTAACTTCCATGCATGTTGTATGCTTACTTAAATTATATACAGATTCTGAATGCAGACAGTAGGTTCAGCCTTAGTAGGTTCAACTACTAAACAGCTCTGCTATCAGAGGTTCTTCTACTAGCACATGGCAAAAAGGTAATTAAGACCTCACGAAATAAAGTACCTTTTCAGACCTTGCTGATTAAGGCACTGAACTTCTGCAGCTATCATGCAGCAATGCATGATATTTGGTGCATGTATGCATTCCCGTCAGGATGTAAACTGAATGGGTTATTCCATGAGAGATTATAATAGCAATGCTCAACTTTCTTTGATACAGCTACAGAATTTCTAAGAGAATTTCCATCAGAGAAATATTGTGTTTAAAACTGGCCAGGCCAAAGACATTAAAAGAAAAATGTTTTCTGAAACATAAAAGTGCCATTCAAAGGAAGCTTTAAAAAAGTATAAATACTACTAACAGTCTAATAATTACTAATACCTCCAGAAACACAGGAAGTAAGATAGTTTATCTGAATTATATAGCAATACTTACAGGCTTTTGCTGTGGAGCTGTACTCACTGCAAAGAAAAAAAAAATTCAATATACATTTTTACAAGAATAACTCTACAAATTATATTTAAAGTGATTTAAAATCTTATTTTCAGCCAGCATTTTAACTCTTTACAAATGCTTCCTGCCTGAAATCATACAGTGTCTCCGTTAGACTGTCCGGAATTAAAAGGATTTATCATTAATTTCTGTTCTCTCTGCTGTGGCTAGTGGAGAGTTGATCAAAGTCAGATAGGGAACTCCAAAACAGTCATGAGTAGACAGAAACCATTAGCTGACTTCAGAGATGTCACAGATGAAATGCACGCAGTCAGCTGACTGATCAGATGCAGACAGATTTTAAATAGTTCAGGCAGTATCAACACAGATGACTGTTGTGTTGGACTGAACAGAAAAGTCAAATATTCACACTTCCTTCCTTCTGAAGCAGAGTACTCTGATAGGACTGCAGGCATGAAGGAGTGCCTATGGCAAAAAGCACTACAGCACAGGGAAAGCACCTCCAGCATGCACCCCTACCTACGCATGTCCCAGACAGATACCATCAATGATTGGCTTGCTGCAATTACAAGTCACTGTGAAACTGCACAGAACAGTAACAACAACAACAACAAAATGCCACACATAGAAATACCATCACCACCACCACAGGTGCAGAAAACTGCATTTGTGTCCCTGAAAGGGCAGTGCTGTCTCAAAGGTTCTTAAATCTATCATCACCTCTAAAAAATGCAATTATGCAGAACCTATTCTTAAAATGCTGTAACAAAAACACATCTTCAGTTCCTGTGTGGAATGCCATATATTTAATTACAAATTGCCAAGAACAAAGAGTGATAAGAATTCCATCAATATATTCCTTAACATTTATTTTAATGTCAGGAAGCAATGTCAAGTCTGCTTCCCACACAGGCAACATACAGCCTGATTCCCCATTATGTAAAATTCAACACAATATACTAACAATTTATAATATTGTATGTCAACATGAATAATATTGTAAAGCAGCACAATCATTGTTAGCTCAACAAAAAAAACTCATATTCATAGACCGAGTCCAAAAAATGATGTTGAAAAGAAAGAGCTTTAGGAAATGCAAAGAGTCTGAAAATAATGTGCCACTATGGAAATATTTATGATTTAAGCCACAACGACTGCTCCTGATACAGTAGGTATTTGTACTGTATCTCTATAATTTTAATCCATAATATATTTTTTTCTGATAACATTACAAAAGCTTTAAATGCTTTGTTTTTCCACTGCCTGTAGCTGGTGTGTTGGGCTACAAAACAAAACAGTAACCATGCACAAAAAACCTCTCAAAAAGCTGTATTTCCTTCTGGCATGTCTTCACTGATAGCTGTGAGCTCCTTCACTTTGGTTCCTCCTAGCTAAACAGTTTCCATCTAAGATCTTGGCAAGCTTAACAAAATATTTCACGTGCAGTGCTGGGAAGAAGGGCTCACTGTGTATTCATTCAAGTACAATAAATGCTGTTTTCAAGAATGAAAAGCTATGGACTGCAAGACTTGTCACTACATTTTGAGAATAAGTTACAACTGGTAAAAAGACAGATAATTTCAAAAGAACACTGATGATACTGTAATAGAACCAGACACAAAAGTTAGATATCACTATTGATTACTGCTGTATTAAAGATGCAAGTCATTACAGCTTGCAGGGTGGGACTGTGTTCCAATAAATCAGGCACTCCAAAAACCTGAACATGAAAAACTGAGAAGAAAACATTCCTTTTTAGCTCTCCAGAGTATAAATAAAAACTGAGTGGATGTACTTTTCTTTTACATGCAATTATTTAAAATGTTCATATGCATTAAATAAAACATTGTTAGCATTAATTTACAGACACAAATGTACTACATTGCATTTAAACATACTGTCATACCTGCTGAGCCAGACGGAGGAGGAGCTCCAGCTTTCTGCCATTCAGTAGCTTCAGCAGCCATTCTACGAACGTAGGCATCATCCACGCACATCAGAATGTTTTCTGGCTTAATATCCGTATGAATGATCTTGCACTTGCTGTGTAGATAATCTAGACCTTGAAGAACCTAATTTAAAAAGGAATTTTATTTTTGTTTCCTGTTATCCAGAACAAGCTAAATGTGGGGCATCCACAACCTCTCTGGGCAGCCTGTTCCAGCACCTCACCACTCTCTCTGTAAAGAACTTCCCCCTGACGTCCAACCTAAATCTCCCTTCCCTCAGCTTAAAACCATTTCCCCTTGTCCTGCTGTCACTCACCCTTTCAAAGAGTTGACTCCCCTCCTGTTTGTAGGCTCCCTTTAGGTACTGAAAGGCTGCAATGAGGTCACCCCACAGCCTTCTTTTCTCCATGCTGAACAAGCCCAGCTCCCTCAGCCTGTCTTTGCAGGGGAGGTGCTCCAGTCCCCTGATCATCTTCGTGGCCCTCCTCTGGACCCTCTCCAACAACCCCCTGTCTTTTTTGTACTGGGGGCTCCAGACCTGGACGCAGTACTCCAGATGGGGCCTCACAAGAGCAGAG